AACAACGAACCTCTTTCTTTGCTTTGCCCTTGGTTATGGAAGGACCCCTGCTCATTAGTAGCCATGGTCGTGGATACATCAACGAGAGCAACTTGGCCTTGCCCATGCGGTGCTAGCGGCTGCTGTGAAACTTGTGTTATCTGTTGCTGCGTCCCAAATTGCTGATATGGCCCTTGTTGTTGTGGTTGCAACTGTTGTGGCATAGCAAACTAGTTCAGAAACTGCTGCTGAACATTCACCTGCTGCTGCTGCTGCTGATAATGGTATCCCTGTTGCAAATTACTTACGACCTGTGGCTGTTATGAGTGCGGCTTCTTCTTCTTCCGTTTCTGAGTAACACCTTGTTGACCCACATCGAAGGCCACCTGCTGCTGAGGAGCCGGAACCCCTCCCGGCTGAAACTGAGGAAGGGGAGTTGCTCCGGCAACATTCAGCCCGTACGGATGTGCTGGTCCATCGCTGGCAGCTACCCCGCAGTTTGAATGGACGTGTGCCCCCTGACCTTATACCGAGAACTAGGGTCCTCCATACGCATACGAGGGTGCCGACCCCCGTAGATGTTGTTGTTGAAGAACCGGAGTGCCGGCGGCGAACGCCGCGGTTGGAGGCCGAGCGGAGCCAGCAGCGCCCCCCACGTACGTCAGAGCGTGAGCTTGTGGACCACCCACGGCCGAATTGTCCCGCTGTGGAGGGGCCGCCATCAGGCGCTGCAGGGCGGGCGGCTCCGCAACAGCCGCAAAGGAGCGGACGCCGCCGGTGGCAGAAGCTAGCTTCGATGGTCGAGCGGGAGGTGATGATGCGATCACATTAGGTGAGGAGAATGATGGCGGCTCGTGGGAAGCAGAGGAAACTGGGGTCGACGGCGCTGGCAAAGTATGAAGCGTAGTCGATGAAGAGTTAGGGTAGCCCAGCCATAGGGCCTTCATACGCCGACGTAGGCAGGCCCATGAAAACTCATGTGATGTGGGCCCAGCATCCGAAGCAGCAACGTTTTGAATCACCGTTGATCGCGGATCGAAAGTTCCATTGATCATGACGACGTTCCTGGCGTCGAGGAACCACCACGGTCCCCTGCGGGCACATGCTTGGCCACAGCCAAGAACTGGCCCAACATGGGCGATGGTGTGATTGGTCTCGGCGGCAGCGACCCTCTCCATGCGCCCATACGAGGAGGACGGGACATCCTCAACTCGGTCGGTGGCGAAGGAGAACTCCGGCGTGGCGGCACGAACATCCCAGATTCCACTGATAGCGTATTCCCCGGTTGACCGTTCCTCCCCTCGTCCATGGCATCTACCTGCACCCTGCAAGACAACACCTCCTTGCCTGCACGTTCCGAGGAGAACACCGGCGACGTACTTGATCTTCTCTCCCAGAAACGTGACGCCGGTGTAGGAAAACCAGCATCCGTCCAGAATTCCCGCACGATCTCGGCCTCCGTCTTCTTTCTCCAGTGAATCACTGGAGTCCACTCTTTGGTTGTTGCACCGTCGTCGAGCACATCCATCGCCATCCTGATCCCGATGGCCGGCGTGTTATCCTCCTCATCGGACGAACTGGGCTCCGATCCGAGGCATGAGAAGCGAGATCCGCTCGAGCACCCCGGTTTGGAGGACGACGCCAGTGAGGAATCAGAAGGCCTGAACGCAAGCGTCAGGCGCCTCCCGCACATCATTGGCCCGCCCTCCCGTGGATGTTTTTCTGAAAAGGGAATGCATCGTTCCATGCTCCTTCTGATAACTCCGATAACATAGCTCTTCACAACAAGCTGAACATAGATACTCATGTCTCTGAAAATAGAACAGGCGGAGCGGGTGCAGTGCTACGTAATACACTAGGTGAAGCTATTGCAGGTGCTTGTTATTCTCTTCATTGCTTACTCGATGCTGCAACAGTGGAGGCAACAACACATCAGAAAGGCTTGCATATGTTGGAAAATTTGTGTTTTGTTTCGGTGATTGTTGCAACGGATTCTTATAAACTTGTCGAAGCTTTTCATGTGGTCATCCAGGTGTTGAGTCTATATTCGACTATTCTTGCACATTGCTTTCAGATAGCATCAAGGATCGGTAACATTTCAGTGCAACATTGCAATAGGGAATCGAACAAAGCGGCACACACTTTAGCTAGGCATGCTTTAATTCAAATTCTTTTGTCTTTTGGGATGATAATCCTCCTAGTTTTATTGTCCCGGCTGTAATAAACTAATATATTGTTATTCAACTGGAAATAAAGTGCGACACGAAGGCTTTCCAAAAGAACACCCCATACATATTTTATTTTGCCTAATATAACATACTCCCTCTGTCCTAAAATAGTGTTAAAAACGTTCTTATATTTTGGGGCAGAGGGAGTAGCAAAGTACAAGAATATTCTCATCCTACACAGAGAAAAAACGCCGTTCCCATGGTTGATCCGTTGCCACAGAACGAAAAAGAGCACGCCGTGAACCACCCCTGGCCGCCGTTACCGGTCGTCGTGGAGAGAAAAGGAAAAAGAAACGACTGTCTGCGACCACCAAACCCAGGAGACAAACGTTCCGCCCGTGTCCCCCTTTTTACCATGGCCATTTTTACTGCGCCGCTCCGGCGCTCCCCCAACGCTCTGTCGCACTGTGCCGCGGCTGCTTCCCTCATCTTTTAACTGCCCCGCGAAAAAGCGTCCGAATCCCAAGACACCACCCTCTCGCTCTCCCAGAGGCAAAAGATTTCTGCGCACTCCATACCGATCGCTCCTGCCCTTCTCCCATTGATCGCTCCTGCTCTGCTTTTCTCCGCTGCGCAGCACAGCCACCAACGCCGCCTTGACTGTCTCGAAGCGACCCCTCCTCCAAGACGGCCAAGACCACCAGCCCCCTCCTCCTCCGCCTCGCCCTCGCGAATGCCGCCTGCTTGCTCGGGTGCTCTCTCGCGCGTGAGCGGCTAGGGCCAGCGAGGGAAGAGGAGGGAGATAGGTGGCCCCGCCCCGGCCGCGCGGCGGCGACATGGGGGAGGTGGATTTGGAGGATGTGGTGCTCTCCTGGTCGGCCCAGGAGATCGCCGACGACGACCTCTACAGGGGCAAGGTACTCCCTCGCGTCATCCATCCATCCATCCGCCCGAGGTTTGCCGCTGCTAGTAGTAGTTCCGGATGATGATTTCTGCGAGCGGGCGCGCGGTTTGGCAAGCTTGAGCCTTCGTTTTATCGAATCTGCGCGTATGTACGGACCACGGACCAGCGAAGCTTGTGCGTGCGTGCGTATGTGCGCTAGCTAGCTAGGTTTCTACTCCGACTGCCCGTGCTTAAATCCCGCGTAATCCAAGTTGGGTCAGTTGCTGGATGCTCCAAAGGATGAAATGATGGTGCTCTGCTCTGTCTGTGTGTGTGTGTGTGTTGTCCGTGTGCTCGGGTTTAGAGGGGGTTTCTGTCCCCGTGTCATGGAAGCGCAATTCGCAAGTGCTTAGCAATGCAAATTCAGTGACCTTTGCTGTGCTAACTGCTGATTGCCGTTTCTGGACCAGCTGATTGCTAGTAACATGATTGTTGCACTTGCACACTTGCAAGCTTGGTCTGTCAGGAAATTACGTGTTGCTGTCGGTGCCATATGTTACTGATTCGGGCTGACTAGTTGTCTCATCCGTGAATCTTATGTTACTGATTGAGTGGATGTACTCACTGCTGTTGAAAAGAATGCCACACTAATTTGCTATGCCCATGATGTGCAATCATTTCTCAAGTCTTTTAGTGGGCTGTGTGGCGGAAATTATAAATTGTTTTGCTATGAAAGATTTTATGTCTACAGTTAGAGTACGGTAACCTCCTTTGTGATATGAGGAGCTTAACCCCTGTGTTGATCCTTGCTTGTTCTTCCAGTGTAAGAAATTGACTCTGCTAGCATTAATTACATGCCATTTTTGTGCTCAAGAAACTGTTGGTAATCTTTTGCCAGCTATAATCATATCTCATTTACGGACTCGTTTGTGTTTAGGTTGTAACCATTCCCTGCAACTTCAAGTCACTTGATCACTATCTTGTATCGTTTCGTGTTCCTCTGATTGAAGAAACAAGGTCAGATCTGTGCTCATGCCTTCAACTCATCAGTGAAGCACCCTCGTCGCAAATACTTTCCATGGAGGTGGCAGGGAAATCGGGATCATACTTTATGGATGTGGACTTTTGGGATAATGATGCTGGTTTTTCTACTGGGAATTATACTGTGAGGAATGGTGACATATTAATTTTGTCTAGCATAAAACCTGAAGCTGCAGAGGACTTAAACCACCATGGTCTGACATACTGCTTGGCAATGGTTACTGAGGTTTCTATAGATGATGAATGCCAGAAGGGCTTCAGAGTCAAAGTTGCAAAGAATAATTGTTTGGAAGAAGAAGATTTAAACAAACTCAAGCATGCAATATTTCTCAACAATATCACGACAAACATGCAGATATGGAAAGCACTTACCTTTGATACGCACATGGATAACAATTTCACAGTAATCAAGTCGCTCTTAGACCCCACAGATCTGGTAATATGACATGAATACTTGCGTTTTAGTTTTACTATCTATTTTCGTTAGCATTATAAATTGGTACGGGGCCTAAGTCTTTGAGCTTCTCTTTGTTGGCTCTGTTGCAGGGTCAGGATGTTTGTGATGTCTGTATTAAACAGGATAGGGGTTGTTTGGCTTCTTTCACAGAGCAACTACTTTCGATTAAGCTTAATCGATCACAAATTGATGCTATTGAATCTGTCATCTCAGCTGTACAATGTGAGCATGTGAACCTCATGAAGCTTATATGGGGTCCACCAGGTACTGGAAAGACAAATACAGTTAGTGCTTTATTGTGGGTTTTGGCGCATTTGAAATGCAGAACTCTTGCTTGTGCTCCCACTAATGTTGCTGTTATTGGAGTTTGCACTCGTTTCCTTCAAAAACTGAAGGATTTCAATGAGATCATTGATGAAAATGGTCTACCTTTTTCTGCTGGAGATATTTGCTCTTTGGAAGCAGGTCTAACATGGACATCACCGAGGATCTTCAGGAAGTTTTCTTGGATTTTCGTGCCGACCAACTTGCGGAATGCTTTTCATCGTCGTCCGGATGGAACTACAGAATAGCTTCAATGGCATCCTTTTTTGAAGACTGTGCTTCACGGTATGATATGCTTCTTGAGGATGATGACAAAATTGGTCCAGTGTGCTTTCTGGACTTCATTAAGAAGCAATTTGATGCAACAGCAATAGCTCTGAAAAAATGCATAATGAATTTGTGGCTTCACCTTCCTGGAAGGTACTTTTCTCATGATAGTGTCATAAATATATCTACGTTGCTTGATATGCTGGAAAAATTTGGCGCCCTTCTGTGCAACATAGACTTGACCGATGAGGGCTTGAAAAGGGGCCTTGGTTGTCTATCAACTGAAAACTCTGTTTGTGCAAAGCCTATATCTTCAATTGAGAAGGAACTTGATGGAGCAAGGTTTACATGCCTTAAGTTGCTTAAAGATCTGCTACACTCGCTTAACTTACCCACTGGAGTAGACAAAAACTGGGTCAAGAACTACTGCATACGTAATGCAACACTTCTTTTCTGTACTGCCTCTAGTTCTTATCGGTTACATCACATGGATATTGCACCCCTCGATGTATTAATTGTTGATGAGGCTTCTCAAGTGCGGGAGTGTGAATTGGTGATCTCATTACGGCTACATTGGCTAGAACATGTTGTTTTGGTAGGGGATGACTGTCAGCTGAGTGCGATAGTTAAAAGCAAAGTAAGGTTTTGCCTCACCCTCTTTATGTGCTGTTTGGTTTCATTTTTAGTCACTGGTGCATTTATCAACAAGATAAAATTGTGATACTCAAACGCTACAACACTTTTTTCTTGAAAAAAAGTGAAGGCCATATCTTCTTTTTATGTTCTGTTTGTTATTGATCTGTTTTGATAATCTTAATCCTTACCTTTCATTGTTTATCTCTAGGTATGTAAAGAAGCTGGATTTGGAACAAGTCTTTTTGGGAGACTGGTTACGCTAAAATTTGAAAAACATTTGCTGAACATACAGTATCGCATGAATCCTTGTATCAGCTTATTTCCAAATGCTCAGTTTTATGAGAGGAAGATTTTAGATAGTTCCAGTGTCCTGTCTCCTAGCTATAATAAGGATTACAGATGCCTCCCTTTTGGCAGCTACACATTTATAAATGTCATTGATGGAAGAGAAGTCATGGGTTCAAGTCCTGGAAACAGCCTCTTACAGAAATGTAGGGAAAGGCTGCGTACTATAGACCCAAAGTGGTCGGACCCTTCCCTGGACCCTGCGCAAGCGGGAGCTACATGCACCAGGTTGCCCTTTTATTGATGGAAGAGAAGACAAAGTGGGCATGGGAAACAGTCGGAGAAACATGGTTGAAGTTGCTATTGTTTTGCACCGAATCCATACCATCTTTAAATGTATGTCTAAGCTGAACTCTTATCATTTGTTTAACCTTGATATCCTTTCCAGTTTTTTTTTATGAAGCTGCTTGGCTAATATAACATGGGATCTTTGGAAGCTTACATAGTCTTCCTTCCTTGTACTGGATATACTGCATAACCTTCATCGGTAGGAAGTTCTACAATAATATATGTACAAGAGTCCAGTTTTCTATATGTGTATCTCATGATCGTGATTGCATCATTCCGGCTTTATGAAAATTCAGTTCTACCGCCCTGTTGTTCGGTAGGCAATGTTATATTTTTGTTTAGAGAAAGGAGAACAGTTAGTAGATAACATGAAAGTTGAAACACTATGCTCGATTAGAGTTGTTATCGACTGCAGGCCACTTAAGCAACTTTTATTATCGTCAGAGTGGAAAAGCAATCATTTGGTGATGCAGAATCAACTAAAGTTTTCTGAAGAAAATTGTTTCAGTAGCCTTGTCAAAAAATTGATCAGTTAATTTTTTTTCTGCAGCTTGGAAAAAGACAGGCCAAGGTTTCAGCATCGGCGTGGTTTCTCCATATAATGCTCAAGTTGATGCAATTAAAATTAGACTTGGCAAAAAATACGATGCATGTGATGGCTTTCATGTGCAGGTGAAGTCCATTGATGGTTTCCAAGGAGAAGAGGACGATATAATAATACTATCAACTGTTAGATCCAATGGGAGAGGAGCTGTTGGATTTCTTGCTGATAACCAAAGAACAAATGTCGCTCTTACTAGAGCAAGGTGTGCATCAATTTTTATACGGTCCCTTGTTTTATTGCTGTTCATAGTATGTCATACTGATGGCGCGCTATTTCATGCAGGCACTGTCTTTGGATTGCTGGGAATGCTCATACATTGTATAAAAGTGGGACCGAATGGACAGACCTTGTTGCTGATGCAGAAATACGTAAATGTGTTTTCAGTGTGACTAATGACGCAATCATCTGTAGGTTGGTTTTGCAAGTAAAGCAAGAGCTTGATGAACTTGATGATCTTCTGAATGCTGATTCTGTGGTTTTCAGCAATACCAGATGGAAGGTAAGTACCATGGTTTTAGCCAGTTTGGCTTTGAACATACTTTCATGTTTTTTCATATGTCGCTGCACTTAAATTACCCAGAACGAAAACCACATGTATGTACATGTGTCTTATGAGACTCATGCTTGTCGTCAGGGAGTTAGGGTTTACTGAATATACACTTCCTTAGTTCCTTTATAGTGTGATTTTGTGTGTTTTCATGAACAGCCATGTCTTCACTTTTTGGAATCATGTATGTGGTTTGCTTGTCTCTGCTAGGCTGTTTGCTCTGTGTGATTGGGTGAGAGATATAATTAAGATTTTCAGGGACATGTGCTACTTTGACCATGATGTGTCAATTATATAGTTCTTTCTATAAAGTACATACAATCTTGCGAACGTCCTAGTTTTCTCGAAGAACATACTGTTCTTTCATTTTTCTCGTATATGCTTTTCCTCTGGTTTCATTTTTTGTATTTGTAAATTCAACAGGTCATTCTTAGCGAAGAGTTTAGGAAGTCTTTTACCAAACTAAAATCAACACAGCTCAGGAGGGAAGTACTCCAAAAGCTTATCAAACTTGGAGGTGGTTGGAGGGCAACAGTTAAGAACCTTGATATACCTGGTGTTTCTCATCTTGCAAAAGTATACAAGGTTAGGGATCTGCATCTTGTATGGAGTACTGACATGGAGAAAACCGAAAGAAGGTATTTCCAGATAATAAAAATTTGGGACCTACTGTCACAGCAAAATGTTGGAAGAACTGTTCAACGTCTCGAGAATTTGTTTTCCATGTACACGGATGATTACCTGGATCACTGCAGGAGAGTGCAGACACAGGGGTATGAGTTAGTTGTTTATTATTAATGGGCTATACTCCGGTCCCTTCGTTTTTCATTAACCTATGATGCTTATAGATCAACTTGTTTGTAACTAGTCATGCCTACAAATGAACTGCATATAGACATTCTTCTAATTTGTGCCGCCCTTTTTGTTGTGGATAATAGGAAACTGGAGGTTCCTAAGGTTTGGGATGTTGAGCATGATATTATTCGCTATAACATGGATTTCAAATTTGATGCTCATAAAGAGCATGATCTCGTGGATACATCATATGCCATGGAGAATTCAAAAGTTAATGAAAGCTTCTTGCTGATGAAGTTCTACTCATTATCATCTGGAATGGCAAAGCATTTGCTGACAGCTACTGATGGGTCTGAAATCAACATCCCCTTTGAACTGAGTGATGAAGAAAAGGTGATAATCCAATTCCCGCTCACTAGTTTTATACTTGGGAGGTCGGGCACCGGAAAAACCACTGTATTAACAATGAAACTGATTCAAAAAGAGAAACTGACATTGATCGCATCCCAAGGTCTAAATTTGGATGGAGCTGATTTGTCTGTGGCAGGTGACAATAATATTATGCCACTAAAGAATGTAGGAGAAAGTTATGTGAAACAACTATTTATCACTGTGAGCCCAAAGTTATGTTCAGCCATAAAAGATCACATCTGCAGACTTAAAAGGTAAGTCTGTTGAATTGGACCCCTATTTAGAAGCACTACATATGTTCGCACCTTTTTGGAAATGATTTTGATACAGCTATTTAAAATGGACAGAAATGCGTACACGAGTTGGCTTAATTTTTTTCACTGTACTTCATTCTATTGTATTTCTAACCTTAAGACTCTTCAGACCCTTTGTCATACCCTTTAAGGGTCAATGCTTTTATCCATCTGAAGTGCATTTTCTCTTTAAGATATGATTTATAAAAGGAAAAAGACAAATCATGAGCACCACTTTGCAGGCCAGGCCTCGAATGCGGGCTGGGTGTGCACTCTGCCACTCACAATACTAGCCAACCATGACATGCTTGATGCTCTTTTTTCAAACTATATACATTGCAAGCTGGTTCAATGATTTATTTGAAATATATTCACTTTGCTTATTTTATGCTTTGTATCAATGATCCTAATATTAATTCCAATTTATTTCAAACCCTATATAGATTTGGCACTGGTGATGTCTCTGATCAGCCAAGCATTCTTTGCATGCATGACATCATGGATGACCTGGAAGAGTTTACAGAAATTCCTGACAATTTTTGTGATCTACCTCATGAGCAATATCCTCTTACTATAACATATCGTAAGTTCTTGATGATGCTTGATGGCACATGCCGGACATCATTTTTCGATGCATTTTATGGTGAAATGAAGTCTAACTTTGAGAGAGGCCATTCAAGATCTCGTGCAGTGCAAACTTTTATTGAATTGAATGAAGTTACGTACGAAAAATTTGCTACTTTCTACTGGTCTCGTTTTAATAAAGATCTGACCAAGAAATTTGATGCGTCCACTGTCTTCACTGAAATAGTTTCTCACATTGAGGGCGCATATCCAGCAAGTGGGCCTTATACTGGCAAACTGGGAAGACAAGATTATGTCATGCTCTCAGATAAAAGATTTTCATCTTTGAACAAAGAGAAAAGAAATAAAGTTTATGATATATTCCTTCAATATGAGAGTATGAAATGCACTGCCAGGGAGTTTGATTTGTCAGATTTTGTCAGTAGTCTTCACAGTAGTCTTGCATCTGAGTGCTACAATGGAGATATGGTGGATTTAGTTTACATAGATGAGGTACAGGATCTGACAATGACACAAATAGCACTTCTTAAGTATGTCTGCAGGAACATGAAGGAAGGCTTCCTTTTTGCTGGTGACACTGCACAGACTACAGCAAGGGGTATTGATTTTAGGTTTGAAGATATCCGTTCACTCTTTTATACTGCATTCCTCGCAGAAACTGAAGAATTTAATCAAGGACTTAAACATGGGGTCCATCTCTCTGATATGTTCCAATTGTCTCAAAATTTCCGCACACATTGTGGCATCCTCCGTATGGCACAAAGTATCATGAGCCTTCTGTGCTTCTTTTTTCCATCAAGTGTTGACAGGCTTAATCCAGAGACTGGACTTGTATATGGAGAAGCTCCTGTGCTGCTGGAGTCCGATAACGATGAAAATGCAATTATGAGTATTTTTGGAGAAAGCAAAAGTAAACATGGTAATCTGCATGGCTTTGGTGCTGAGCAAGTCATATTAGTTCGTGATGATGCTACCAAAAAACAAATTATTGATCTTATTGGTAAACAAGCTCTTGTTTTGACTATTGTTGAATGTAAAGGCCTTGAGTTTCAGGTATGAGCCTATCAATCAGTTTCGTCTGTGTTAATTTTGCAAATATTTCTATTGTAAAATGTGCTGTTTCAAAATGTTGAGTGTACTTACTTCAGAGGTATTGTGTAGGATGTGCTGTTGTACAACTTTTTTGGTTCGTCGCCTTTAAGAAATAAATGGAGAGTTCTGTATGGCTACATGAAAGATAAAGATATTATAGCACACTCCGAGGGGATCTCTCACCCAGATTTCGACAGAAGCAAGCATTATCTACTCTGTTCAGAGCTGAAGCAACTCTATGTTGCAATCACACGCACTAGGCAAAGATTGTGGATATGTGAAAATACAGAGGATTACTGTCGACCAATGTTTGAGTACTGGAAGAAGTTGTGTCTTGTAGAAGTTAGATTACTTGATTCTTCCCTCATCCAGGCCATGAAGACAGGGAGCAGCAATGATGATTGGAGGCTACGGGGAACCAAGGTTAGTGATCTTTACTTGTTTTGTCTGGAAAGCCAATTTTAATTTATTGCATTATGTTGCCTAGTGAATGTTCTTAATATTATTAAATCCATGGGGTTTTTGTTTCTCACAATTGTTCTATGCACAAATATTTTTTGTTAGGCGGGTCCTGGGGCGTACCTTACAGTTTTTGCGTATTTGTCTTTTACCATTGTTATTCCATGTCACAGTTCTCCTTTTTTTTTGTAGTTATTCAATGAGGGGCAATTCGAGATGGCTACTATGTGTTTCGAAAAGGCTGGTGATGCACACAGAGAGAAGTGGGCAAGAGCTGCTGGACTTGTAGCAACTGCTGACCGTGCCATCTCCACAAATTTGGAGTTAGGCAAGGCTTCATTGCAAACAGCATCAGAAATTTACGAGGCCATAGGAATGCATGAGAAAGCTGCTATGTGCTATATCAAATTAGGGGACTACAAAAGAGCAGGTCTGCCAACTCTCCATAATTTCCAAGCTGTATCCATTTGAGATTTCATCGTATAAGTTATAACAGTCTACAAATGACAAGTTGTTCTTAAAGAATTGTCATATAAGTAAATGTCATCAAATCTCAAAATATTATTTCGAAATAATATCCCTACTTAAATTCTCACACTCCAAATAGCTCTGTCCGACTGAACATTGTGTTCCTTGCATTGCCATAGGTATGGTGTACATGCAAAAATGTGGTACTTCTAGACTTGAGGATGCTGGTGACTGTTTCGCTAGGGCTGAATGCTGGTCAGAGGCAGCTGAATGCTGGTCGGAGGCAGCTGAAGTGTTCTTCAAAGCTAAATGTTACACCAAGTGTTTCTCCATGTGCTCAAAAGGAAAGCAGTTATTCAATCTGGGCTTGCAGTTTCTGCACCAATTGGAGGAGGAACATTCGCTTGAGAATTCAGAACCCTTGGAGGTTTCTACAATTAGATCGAAGTATCTGGATATTTGTGCTCAACATTATTTTGAGTGTGGTGACATAAAGCATATGATGCCTTTTGTTAAGGCTTTTAGTTCTACGGATCATGTACATGCATTCTTAAAGTCTAGGAATCTTCTTGATGAACTGTTTAGTTTAGAGATGGAAATGTGTAATTTCATTGAAGCTGCAGGAATAGCAAGGCATAAAGGAGATGCCTTGCTGGAGGTGAAAATGCTTGAGAAGGCAGATTTGTTTGAGGATGCAACGCGGCTTCTCCTCCTCCACATCACTGTAAATTCCTTCTGGTCTTTAAATAATAAAGGGTGGCCTCCCAAAAGAAATCCAGAGAAGGAACAGTTGCTTGCAGAAGCCAAAGAGATGGCGAAGAAGGTCTCTGATTGCTTCTACTCCTTTGTTTGCCTGGAAGCTGATGCACTGTCAGATGTGATAAAGTCTCTTCCCAATTTAATTTGCACTTTGCTTGAGGGCAGAAAATGTGGAAACTTGTTTGTCGAATTTATTGCTTCTCGTTTGATCATTGATGTTCATCTTCAGTCTCGAACCTCTGCATACAATTTAGAGAGAGGGCCAGGATCTGAAGATGAAAATAGTTGTAATGATATGCTGGCTTCTAACCAGATGTCACCCCATACTCTGTTTTATGTCTGGAATCACTGGAAGTCGATCATACTCAAAGTACTATCTCATCTTCGCCACACTGATGGTCCAGAATTAAATGATTACACAGTTATGCATGAAGAACTTTTCGCCAAGTACTTTGGATTGAGAAAAGATGATGAAGTTGACAGATATGTGGTGCTTAACAAGAATGCAAGTTGGCTTTCTAATGCTGGCAGAAGTTCTTTGCAGCAAGATGGCAACAGATGTTTATTGGATGCTCCTCAGTGTCATTTATGTGCTAAGTATTTCTGGGTGAATGAGCTGTATTCTGTTGGTTTCAGTGTACTTAAGAAGTTGGAGCCATTAGTTCACATTTCTCCAAAGCCACAATCTTTGTATACCCTGGTGAGAACAAACGTTATTATAAATGAGATAGCAAAGTTTTTGGAAGAACCACAGTTCGGTATGCCAAATATGAAGTTAAAAAGCTTCTTTGTTCTCTGTGAGCGTCGCTTCTTTGAGTTAGTTTTTCTTACGTGGAGAGATGGGACAACAAGGAGCCTCTTGCGTAGATTTGACTCACCAGCTACATATGGATTGATTGCTGATTCTCTTAGTTCACATCTTCGGCGAACAGATAATAATTTGACTCATGGGCATCTTGGGAGAACAACCATGCTTCTGCTTCATGCAGCACGATTGGATGATGCGCTACTTTCAAGACTACTACATTACCTGGACAACAATTCCAAGTGGGCAGGTTTTTATCGATGTTTTAAGAGATTTGTTGATACTGGTGCTGATAGATCCCACTTGATCTTGAACTTTGAGCTTGCTCTTGAATTTACATTCAGTTCTGTGATATGGAGGGATGAACTGGACTATATATCCCCAATATGCTATGTGGGTCTGATGGAGTGCCTTGGTTTCATGGCTTCATCATACCTTCTACAGAAAGGTTGTATATACTGCACGAAGTCTGTGTTGGTCAATATGCTGGAGTGCCGTACCAGCAAGTTTTACCTTGACACCTGCCTGGCATCTAATTCGAGCCCAGATGATGATCTTGATCGTATGGCACACTCATCAGGGCGTTTCATATTTTATACAATTATGACTATGTTGACAAACAAGGATATGCTATGGGAGTGGGTACAGAAGACGGCAACTCCTAGTTCATACTCCGAGGTCCTCCTGAGACTAGTGGTCACACTTTATACACTGATTCTAACTCATGGTCTTGTGTTCAAAAGAATAACTAATGATCTGCGGAATTGCTATGAACTCACAAATACTCTTCAGCGGTGCGGAGTCTTTGAGCATTTGCCTTTGGAGTTCTCTGAGAAGATGGTGCATGTTTTGCAAATAAGGCCTCGCACGCCGAGCAACTTCACAAGAATGCTTGCTGATGCACTGGACGCAGTCGGAGATCCTATGGTAGTTATGGTAGGCTCACCCAAACTCCCAGCAATCTGTCGGAACATAAATGCTTATATGATTATTAAGGAGGATTTGTATGATGTTCTGAAGATAATGGCTCTTCTTCGTCCTGGGGAGCCAAGTTGTGTAAAGCAAGAGGCTGCACTGCCAGAAAAATCTGATGTTAACAAAAACATTCCCAAGGCTGTACAAGATAATAAGGCGGAGAGTAAAGGTGAAATAGATTTAAGTGATGAGAATACCCCCTTCTGGGATAAGTTTGAGACGTTTCAAGTCAACAAGCAAGGCCAGGTGAGTTTCATATGTTGTTATGCTTGCTTTGTTATCTTCCGGTTTGTCCCATTGTTCACAACTGCTAAGTTATTCTAAAAGCTACTGTATTTTTCTGCAGAAAGATGCAAGGTTCATTGTTCAATTCCTTAGGAATGCCCTCTCACGGCTGGAGCAAACACGCTTCCAAGAAAAGATTGATGCACAGTTGTTGGAAGAGTTCAGGCACATCTGCAGGGAGTTCGAAGAACGTTCTGCCAGTGCCAGGTAAGCCAATGTTAAATAGCACCAGCTCTGATATTGCTAATGGAAGTTGTTGCACCAGCTCTGATCTCCCTGGATGGTCCCCAAATATTCACCATTTGCGCAGGACGGCGAGGACAGCTTGTCCGACTGTAGAGGATCTATACTTGATGTGGCAAGATGGTGAGAACAAACTGCGGAGGATCATCAGCTTCATCCACTCTGAAAGGGCGTCCATGAAAGACGATGGCAGGAGCAGTGCGCACGCCGACGCCCACGAGTGTTCAGACGATGAGCCTGACGCGGGAGAACCGGCCTGGACTTCAGCGCAGGCGGCGCAGAAGCAGAGGAGGAGGAGGAAATCCAAGAAAACCAAAGGCCGTGGCAAGAAGTGAGCCCCTGTAGCCGCCACGGAGAAGGACGATATGTTGGTGGCAGCGACTCAGCAGTGGTGGTTCGTGGATGTTTGGGCGGCGGCGGCAATAACTGTTGAGGGGAAGCGGGACATAATCGGCCTGGCGATGAAAACGCCTGATCGCCCACCTCGTGAGCCATTAGATCCCAAATTGTAGCAAAAGCCACCTTCGTGTAACAATTTTGCAACAATTTTTCACAAGGTGTGTAGAACATAAAGAAAAAACGTCGCATCATTTAGAACATCTTACGTGGTGATTTTTTTTGTTTTTGCAGCAAATCACACCAGCTTGCGGAGTGTCCGAAAAACATGTGCGTCATCATCAACTGCAACTTCCACTTTGGGACACCGACCTCGTCGCCCAGGCTCACCAGCTTTGAATATGTTTCATTGGTACCTTGACAGCGTTGAGTCCAGCGGGCCCAGGGCCCAGGGCCTGTAGCACTTTGGTTTTGGACGGGACCAATGTGTGCGACCTTCATGTGTATGGGTCGTGGCCTTTGGCAAGGTGAAACAAGGGTTAAGGGGCGGATGGAAGAGGAATATGAGGGAAAGGTTGACGGAGTTGTTTACCTCCGGTGGTCCTCGCCAAAGCTCGGGTTGGATAACCTAGGGGGAACCCTACCGTCTTTTGATGTTCTTTGGGATCACAAGGATCGAGATAGACCTAGGGGCTGAATAGGGACAACTATTTTTTTTCCGTTGATTATTAGCAAGTTTAGGCTATGCGGAATATAAAGGTGTGCCTAAACAATTGTTAAAGTGAGGTAAATAATCATGTATGATGAATGCAAGGTCAAATGAACAAAATAAACCATACGTAAAGAGGTAGGGTTAGGCATCACGAAGG